TATATCACACCGCTTAGCTAGAACTTACTCGTACGAAGAATAGGAAGCGAGGTATAAAGAGAGAAGTGTCGTACGACAGCTTAACTCTTCTTATCTTTCTTCTTCTGTACCATAGGCTAATGCAAACTCGTTCGAAGGCCTCTTCGCCCATAACAAAAAGTATTAAGGCTGCTATTAACTGAGTAGCAGCTCTATAGGCACAATAGATAGGTATTTTAGCAGAAAAAGAAGTAGAAAAGGCAGCAATAGTAGTGGCAGCTCTTACTCTTAGCTCTATGTGTACTGAGTGGCAAATGTAATTGTTGTTGTTGAGAAAATCGCGAATCTAAACTGTGTCATAGGGTGGCCAAGGTGGCCGACCACTATATGTGGCCGAACACTATATGGCCGAGCTTAGTTTGCATACTGTCCAACACTGCAGGACAAATAGTCACCATACCTTCCCTTACACCCCCCCACCCGTAAGCTTCACCTCGCCTCTCCACCGTCACCAACCTTAGCCCTTCCCTCGTACCCACCCAAACGTTCTCGAACAATCCCCCCAGACCCCACACTCGCACTCGCGCCTCGCGCCTCGCACCACGTCGACCTGCTTACGTTTCATGACAGCCTCTCCCAGCTCAGCACGCCTCACTCGCCCTCGTCATGCGCCCAAAAGTGTCGTCACACGCATATGCCATGCTGTTCTGAAACACAAGCCTGCGGGCGTAGGCGTGCTCCACGTACGTTTAAACCATACGGCAGCGGCGGGCGAAGAGTGGGTCGGGGAGGGACAACGTAGGTTCGGTGAGTCTTTCTTTGGCTGTCGCGTCTTTGGCGGGCTGGGTTAACACGTCAAGAGGGAATCTGCCGGCAGGCTATTCCTGTTTGGGACGGGGCGGTGAAAGGACACCAGGTGCGAGGGTTCGAGGGTTGGGGGGGCGGGAGGGGCTGCATGGTGCGTGGGGCGGGTAGGTAGGTCTGAGGTGTTTGAGCGGGAATGATGTGGGCTGGATTGGGAGGTTGGTCGTGTGCATGTGCGTAAAGGGAATGTTGGTTTGTACGGTGTGTTTGGACCGATCTTTTTGTTTGAACGGTCTGTTTCGGGTTGTGTAAATGGGATCCCTGGCTATAGTGGAATCCCAATGGAGAAGGGGTGTTTGGTATAATACAAAGCGTATGTGCTAGGGTTTTCACATGCCAGTTTGACACGTGCCATGTCAACGCGTACCTACACATTACACGCGCCGAAAAGTCAACCGTACCGCACTTTACTGTGAATCACACATGTCAAATGTCATAGACGCATCAGGCAGACAAGCCGTCAGGGTCTTAGTATAGGCCGTCCAACCCTCCATAGCCCAGACCCCATACGTGGGCTCCATAATATCTTTGGTAATTGCCCATCCACGCTTGTCGAAAGCCCGTAATGGCGTTCTTGAAGTTATCCAGCAATTCATCATCTTGCTGCCGCTCTGCCTGGGTGGTGCGGGGGAAGAACTTGGCCCGCAGAACGTGGAACCAAAAGGCAGACTCGACAGTCGCCATGAGTCCCAGGCCAGCATATACCGTGTAGCGTACTACAGGTCGAGCCTCACCGAGGTGGTGGAGCAGGTTGATGGATGGAAGCGAAGGGTTCTGGGCAAGTTGGTCTGGCTTCGGTGATGGCGGGGTGGGCTTTGTGTGAGCATGTCTGGCTCGGTGCTGATAGGGCCGCGCCCTGACAGTGGTAGACCCTGCTTTTTCGCGCACCTGTTGGAGCGCATTGAAGGCTGGATTGGTGGGTAGTCTGCTTTTGGCAAGTTTCGGTGAGGCCCGCAGAAACGCCATCTCATTGGTCGCGTGGTGTTGAGACGAAATAGACGGTCAGAGATGGGATGAGATGCAACTTTGTTCTCGTTCCAACTCACATGGCTGGCCTGCCTACCTACCTGCCTTTATCTGCCCTCGAGACGTTGCATTGCTCGCCCTCTGTCGCATGTCTCGGTCGCTGTGTGTGTTGAAGGGGCAGCCGCCAAGAGGCAGCATGTTTGTTTTGGGTCTAATTTTGCGAGGTTATTGGGAGTAGCATTGGCGCCGGCAATCTCAGAGTTTGTGCAGGGGCAGGTCGCGTTAGCGGCATTGGCGGTGTCGGGCTGCCTATTGCGAGCATGATGACGATGATGATGCGGTTTCACAACACCAGACGGATCGCGAGGGGCGTAAGAGTGGCCATGGTGGGTGCGTGTGCGTGGGCGTGTGCGCTGCCTACACATGTCGTCGTCTCTGGCAGCATTGCGGCGAGTCCAAGGCAGACGGGCGGGCGCAAAAGGCGGTGGCTGGCGTTGGGCGGGGAATTGCTGTGCTGGCAGGGACACCTGGGCTAGTGGGGAGGTGGTGGCCCGCTGCCGATAGTCAGTCAGGAACACAATAACACCACGCGCCGTGCCAGACGGCTCATCCATTCCCTATCCATATCTTTTTGTTCTTTTTTTCCTCGCTCCCCCTTTATTGCTCTCCACTCTTCCCGGTAACCCAAATCTCCCGGGACTGCAGTGGCGCCGCCGACGACATCCATCCAACCGGCTTTACTATTATTAACCAAACAGTATTGATAACCAGCGCCCGTGTTTACGCCAAAGAGAGAGGAGGGGTCGCATCCATGGACGCCGTCGGCCTTGGCTTAAGTGGCATTCCAGGCCCGCCTCGCTGCTGCTGCGGAAATCATGATTGTGCTTTCCTGGCTTACAACGGTCGCCTGCTTGAAGGTTTAGAAAGAGACGTCTCCAAGGCTGCTCAACTCGGCCAAGTATGTGCGCCCATCACCTTGCCATCACTGGCCACTGCCCGCGCCTGCCGCTAACTTTTGCCCTGCAGGCTCTCCTAGTCCGCCACGAGGCCTATGTAGCAGACTCGGAGCGCGAGCGCAGAGAAATGATTGCCACGATTGAGAATCTCGAGCGGGACAAGAGGCAGCTCGAGACGCAGAATGCCCAGTCCATAAAGATCAACCGCGACCTCCTCGACCAGCTCGAGCAGTTGAACAACACCGTTGCCGAGTCCGACGCCCACATCCAGGCCCTCGAGGACACGCTGCGATCGACCGAAGACGAAATCGGGCGCCTCGGCTCCCTGGCTGCACGAACCCAGTTGCTCGAGAAGCAGCTGATCGATCTCGAAAAGGAACAATCTCAGCTTCAGCGCAGCCTCGATGCCAAACTCGTCGACGAGCGGACTGCCATCCAGCGATGGAAGGCGGCCGAACGCACCATTGGAGACCTCCAGGACCAAATTGACCGTATCGAAAAGGAATCCCGAGCCGAGCGCCAGCGACACCATGAGGTCGTCGCCCGCATGGAACGTCGTATGGCTGTCGAAAGCGAACTCAACTCTGCTGCAACCCGGCTCAAGGCAAAGGCAGGACACGACAAGGGCGGCAATGGTGTCGTCTCTCACTTCGTAAAGGATATTCTACTTGACAACGCAAATCTACAACACGGTATCATGGAACTACGCGAAATGCTCGGCAACTCAAATGAAGAGGTGGAGCGTCTTCGAGACCAGCTCAGAGACCACCAGCCCATGTCGCCCTCGCAATCCGGAGAAATCACCAGTCCAACGCTACAAAAGGAACTCGAAATGGAACAGGAATCGCTCAGTCAAGAACTGCACATTCACCACCACTTCCACGGCCCCAAAACGCCCAGAAATCTATCAAAGGGACCGGCCCGGGGCAGGTCCAAGAAGAAGCGATTTACTCTGACTCCCACTCACTTCGACCCGCCGCCGACCCTCGAGCGCTCCTCCACAGCTGCCATTCTAAACCAGACTGCTGTCACAGTACCAAACTCGCATCGATGGTCTCAAGCCTCCACTCTGGGCCCGGGCTCATTTGCGGGATCGCCTGTCTCCGACTCGCGACGTGGGTCCATGTACGATCGTGTCTTTAGCGAGGCATACGACTCGTCACGCCCAACCAGCCCTCCAGACTCCATTTGCTCTCCCATGTTCGGCCCTTCCAAATCAAATGACTACAACTCAGACCATGATGTTGTGCCTTCTCTCGGTCGAAGACGCTCGGGCACGCTCGACCAAGGCAAGAACGTCGTCAGACACTCGCGTCGCAAGTCTCGTGGTCTCATGCCTCCTAGCCTGTCCAACATGCGCAGTTCCAGCACACCCATTTCCTTTACTACCAAGAGCAGCCCCGCCAGCGCCGTCATCTCGGCTGTCAGCCCCACAAATTCTTTCACAAACGATAGTTTCTCCCTCTCGCCCGCTATGCAGACCGAGCCTCAAGCTGCGATCCCCGAGGAGTGCGAGGAGGCCTCTCTATCAACGGCCGAACCGTCTATCGCCGAATCCGCAGAGTTTGAGCCGGATGAGCTTGTATCACCTATTTCCGCCATGCGTCCTTCACTACACCGCCACGCCTCGCACTCATCTCTCATTTCGATATCTGGCATGGATATCCACACGCTACAATCACGACCCTCGCAGCTCATGTACTCTTCCCCACGCTTTGCAGATGTTGGTCTCGCTGGATCTGTTGGACCAGAAGTTGCGTGGGGCGCCACCGCATACGGCACATTGTCGAGCAAGGCAACCGACAGCAGCATGCTCAGCCGCACCATGCTCAGCATCGCGAACCAGAAGCGTGGCCCCCGCAAGAGCGACGGTCACCAACCCACCACCAGCCCTGGTATCACGCAGAAAGTAGGCGGCTGGGTCTTTGGCAAGTGGGGCGCTACTCCAGCTCCTCCCTCCGAATCTGCAACTCGCCCCCCATCGGTTTTGAGCCAGCAAACGCAATCGAGCGTCGACACAGGTTCCTCCAAGGAAAGCACCGAGTCCTCCAAGAAGACCAAAGATAAAGCCAAGGCGAGGGCCAGCGGCGTCAACCAAACCGGTCCTATCTGGGGCGTCTTCGACAACAACGCACCTGAAACCCCTGCAAAAGTCGTAGTACAAGACTACGATGCCGAAGCTCTCGGTGATGCACTTGCTGGTGCAGAGAAATAATTTCGTTTTCTTTTCGCTTTTGTTATGTTTTGCTCTAACGATCCGCAATCGCCAATCGTTTCATGACCCCCCTTACATTTCCAGCCATCGTTTTGCTTTCCTTTCTCTTTTTTGGAGGGCATCTTAACTACCTCACGCAACGGCATCACATCACATCACGATAGACTTTTTTTTGCATCATAACCGGCGTTCTTTTTTTTCCCCAGGGATTCATTCTCCCGCTGTCTCTCGTTTTCATATGTCTGGGACAAGGGATGATTTGGGTTTGGGTATGGCGTGATGATTATATGAAAGAGAAATATTATCAAGTAGGAAAAGAGAGGAAGAGAGGAGAGGGGATGGGGAGAAATTGACTTGATTGATTGATACCCAGGGTATATACAGTATATATTTATATGTATACATGGTCATATACTTGGATGTGCAAACCTTCGTTTTCAGACTTGCTTCTTTTCAAATGTGCCTTGTGATGTGCTTGCTATGGAGTTAGCATATAATTCAGGGATACATCACAGCGCATGTCACAGACATGAGAAGAGTGTTTTAAATCTATGTTTGCTGTTACCGCTGCCCAGCCGCTGGTTCCCCCCCCCCCTTTTTTTTAAATTACATGTACTTTTTAGTGTGTAGCTTCAAATAGAAGTACATGCGCATCCCACTAGCTAACCCCATAGCACTGCTTCGTCTTCTCCACATCGGATGGTTTCCCCGAAAGTGTGTTCGTGCGTGATCAGCGATGCTGGGGGAAACGCTATATTTCGAAACCCCTTTCACCACAGGGATCTCCTTGCTCCTAAATCCAGTGTCATGCTTATAGAGTATGTAATGCCCAGCTTGAAAATACTTGAATGCTCAGTCAATAACAACCATTACTTTTGCCTTTTTGACTGAAGGAACCCGATTGTCGACGACCTGGGTGTGCTGCCGGATCTCGTCTTCGGAGTCATCTTCCAAATCAATAACCCGACCTCGTTTCTTGCCGTCATGGTTGTTTTGACTAAACTCTCTTGGCGTGGCCGCCCGGACAGGTAACGTAGGTGCCATGAAACGCTGTAACCGACCACCCAACGCATTGTCCAGACTGGGCTTCACATCCTCATTCTCGCTCGCATGTGCTGCATCGAGAATGCGATATTGTTTGCGGAGCGCCTTAACATCGTGTTCCTGGTTAAACCTAGAAACATCCAAGCCGTTGATAGTGCGGAGACCCAATGCCTCGGCCCGATCATCACCCCAGTACCAGGTGGCATCGGCAGTTTGTGCGATGCGTTCATCATTTCTTCGAGAAAATGCGCGCGCGTCAATTAAAGCCTGTCGGCCAAGATCAAGGTTGAGTGATGTGACATCGTCAGGCTCGTATCCGAGAAGGTGTGCCATGGCATTACGCTCGTGCAAGCGACCAGCAACACGAGCGTAGGGAATGGCGAGCTCCTTGTCTGGCGGATGAAGAGGATAGAAATCCCCATATCCTTCGGCTGCTCTAGGGATCTGAGGACCAGCATCAGACGCCCATCGCTTGTCTGACCTAGAAGCATCGCTTGTGTAGGCGGAACCATACAACCAGATCGCCGAGTTGAAGGGTCGTCCTTCATCGTAGTCATTGGTCGAGGCCTTGTCCAAACCCGACCATTTCAGTCGGATGGATTTGATGCTCATAATGTCGGTGCAGACAGCTTGGCCGGACTTGGTTGGAAGAAGACGGACGGTATCACCGACAGCCAGCATCTCTGAGCCGACAAAGATGCCATGGCAGTATATAGTCGCCTCTGGCCATGTTCCTCGAAAGCGATGTTTTCCCACAAGTGATAGGGTTGAGGTCAAAGCTAGAGCATTCTTGATACTTGGGTGCCAAAGGTCTTGATCTACGTGCTGCAGGAGCTCTTTCCAAAGAAACAAAGGACGGCTTTGACGTAATGAGATGTACTTGTACCGCTTGGACAGCGATTTGTCCGGGTTGTTTGGGTTGGGAATGAGCTCGACTCTCATGCCAGAGCACGACCCGTTAGCATTTTTGGTTGACTCTAAAAGGTCGGTGATGGTCGGTGTTTGGGCCACCTCTGTGACTAGACCAGCCTCCCAGCGTGGGACATCGAGAAACTCATTCATCTCCTCATCATACAGACACAATTCGTTCGTAACGCCATGCCTAACAACAGTGACTCCATCAGCTAGATGACGGATGAACATGATGATGTCTCCGTTACGCGGAATCCATTGGTCTTGAGATTTGAGGGTCTGCAGTAGCTTCGGGATGTTTTCCTGTTCCGCTCGCCAATCAGGGCTCAAGGGCTCTTGGATGGGCTGATCAATGCATTTGTGGCTTCGGAGCTTTTCAACTAGGTTTCGATAGACGTCGGGTGTACCATCTTGATCTGTTCTGGTCATATCGAGGCCAGGGCCTAGCTTTTTGGGCCTTCCTTGAGCTGTAGGTTGTGAGATAATCACGAGGGGTGGGGCCGGGGCTGGAGTTGGCTGGACGCGGTGGGCGCTGTTGGGTCGGCTCGAAAAAGATGCAGAAGCTGAAACATTGGACGAGCGGCTTGAAGCAGAACTTCTGGGGCGGGAGCTATTGGACATAGCGCGGGGAGGGCCGCGACAGACAGTACAGGGACACCCTATGCTGTTGCCGTCATTGTGCATGAGATATTCGAAGTGCGGATAAAAACGGTTGGGGGAATCAAATTTCTTATGGCTGGGATGCCCAAACAGATACTTGTCGAAGCATTTGGGATCTGAAGGTCGTGGCCTCTGCCACATGGTGTAGCCTGAGGGAAGAGCCTCAAGAATGTACTTCACCCTTGGCTGGGCGCTTCCGCGCTGCTCCATCCATAACTGAGCAATCTTCTCAAGGTATAGGGTAGGGGGATCAATTTTGGTGTGGGTGCCTGAGGCTGGGACGTGCAAGGGATCGCCGTCGGAACAACCAGGCTTGAGTCGTACAAGGCGGCCAGTAGTCATGATTGTGGCAGAGATGGACAGGAATCACAGCAAATGCTGGCTGCTGGCTGTAAGTTGAGGCTTCTGGTTGGAAGCTGAGGAATGGCGGGGCTGAAAAAGTTTAGCGGGGTATGAGTGAGGCCAAGAGGGTGTAAGTAAAGGCAGGGAGTCATGGGCAGCTGGCAGGTGCGTCTACGACAGTCAGCAGAAGGGCGCAGAGACACAGCATGCAGTGAGTGTGAGTGTGAGTGTGTGTGTGTGTGAGAGAGAGAGAGAGAGAGCAGCAATGGGCGGCGTCTCCAAAGCATGCACTACATGTCGCTAACAATGGCACATTATAGTTGCAACATGCAAAAGACGCGTGGTGAGGGTGAAGGTGAAGGTGAAGGACAATGTCGAGGTCAGAGTCGCATGTCTTGGCAGCCCCACTACTAGGCAGGCGTGTTCCTTGTTCCTTGTTGCTTGCACTTGCTCCCATGCAGGAACGCGAGATTTAGCGAGTCGTGCTACTCCTCACGGACTTATACTCTCTCTCTGCTCCGCCCCCCCTTTTTGGCTCAATCCCCGCCCAACTACGACAACAAACATTGCACGTAGCCGCTGGCCCAGCACGTTCAGCATGTGATATCCACCACCGGCTGCGTGTTCCGCTGTGGCAGCTGCACGCCTGAACCACGGAAGGCTGGGTGGCTGTTGATCCTCACGTTCAGGCCGGCCGCTGTCACTAACCCTCAATATACTTAGAGTTGTGTGTGATGCGCAACCACCCGTTCCCGAGGCAGACCCGTGCGGTTCCACTAGAGTCCATCCCCCGTTATTGAACACGCCATGACCTGAGGCTCTAACCACACACGGCCGTCCTCGATACTCCAACGGTCCTTAGTGCGTGATGGAGTGCAGGGCTCATCTGTTTCGAGTCCTTTCGCGGTCAAGTCCACTATTGTTAGCCCGGTTAAGCTTTCGACGGAATCCGCCTTGTAGCCGAGACAGCGCCCTTCTCCCATGCCCAAGCATCTCCTGGCTCACCTCTATCCACCTCTCTCCGCCCATCTTACTTGTCATCTGCACACCTATGCCCCCGGTGTATAGTGCGATACATAGTGGCAAGGAAGTCCAAGGGGCAGCCATCGCTCCAACCAGCCGGTCGCGCCGTCAATCTCACCTCGACCCAAAGCCCGGCCTTCGGATCACTCGCCATAACCTTCGTACACACGTATCCGCCATTCCGATGCGATGAATTTCTTCCGTTCCAGTCGCGCAAACTCACATCTCCCCATTGATGATGGCCGGCCAGCAAAGCGCATCTCAACTCCTGCTGGCCAGCGACTCTCCGTCATTCTCGACAACAAGCTCACAAAGTCACCGGCCAACACAGCCAAAATCAACGTCACCACCGAGAGCACATTTTGCAACGACCCGTCGCATCAGCACGTAGGCCCTGTCCTGCATGTCCACAAGAATGAGAGGAAGAGGGGAGGTGTCTTTTCCGCCTTGACTGGCGCCAGATTAAACACGCCCAATGAGGAGCGAGCCAACAATGGGAGCAATCTCAGTGTCAGTGTGTGGAGCGACAGGGAGGATGAGAAGTTTGGTCACGTAAGACAAAGACGGAGGGGCATATTTGCTTGGGGACGGAAGAAGCTTGCCTTGGTCGTTGCTATCTTGATAGTGCTGATCGTGGCTTTGGCCGTTGGGTTATCAGTGGGCTTGAAGAAGCACTCTGGGTCAGTCACCCGCAGTTTATCATCAAAAAGCAACAATTACTGACGCACTACACAGTAGCTCATCCCAAAATACAGCAAACGGCTCTCAATCGGCAAGCAGCGCATCCGGTACCAACAATCACAACCAGAACAGTGGCGCCAATTCCCCCACCGGAACCGACAAACCACCCGCTCCATCCCCGGCAGCCCCTCGGCCCTCTGTCCCTCCCAATTTCCCCGTCGGCGCTTACTCACTTGCGGTTTTCCTCGACACTGTCACACCAGAGTGCACCGCCAACCAAAACACCTGGACATGCGCGCCAAACACGAACTACTACGCGGATCCGCAGAAAGCTCTTACTGTTCTCAACTGGGAAATCGCCGGTTCCTCGGGATCGTACAAAATCTCATCCAAAGGATATGACGAGACATTTGATACGACCTTCCAGAATGAGAACCTTGAGCTGTTGGATGTAGGACAAGAGACGGAGCGATACCGGTTCCAGATTTCTCGCTCAAAAACTGTAAACATGACTGGCACCCTTGGGGACAGCAAGGGCGATTTCGAGTGTGATTACAGCGCAACAAACATACAGGCATTTCTGTACACCAAGATGCTCCGCACTTATCCTGATGACACAATCGCTGTCAAAAACACCCTGAACACCCAATGGCCATTTGGTAAGTGCAATCTACTGTCCAGCTTCCATTTCCACATACTAACCTTGTATATTTAGCTGTACGCATCGAGCAAGCTGTGGCTGGCGGCGAGGGTGTGCCATCCTGCAAGAGTTCATCAGGTGACAGTGTTGGCCTCAAGGCCCAGGATGCGGGCACGCTATGCTCATGTCTCTACAAGAACTGGACGCCTCAAAAGTAGCTAAAAAAACAATTGCAAATATCTTTGTTCATTATCATCATCTAGCGTTTCCTTTGTGTAACGTATATATACTCTTAACATAGCATAGTGTAGCAAGCACTTTCCTTCTACCAAGGGGCGATGGCGGCGTATAAATATTGGGGTCACCAGGTATAGAACGCGTTGTTTTAGTTGGTCGTATTTCTTCTTATTCACGAGGTAAACCAGGCGTCTCCTACATATTATTTTTCCTATCTCATAAAAAAGATATCTCGGTAGTTAAATTTTCTTTGTACGAATAGCACTTGGGCGAGGGCGGCATTTTGAATTCCTTTGTTTTTCACAGAACAAGCACAACGCCCATTCCGGCGCAAATTTCAATGGCTTGCCGCATGCGGCCAAACACCGACAAATAAAGCAATCATAGAACACATACACAAGAGCAGCAAAATAAAGCAGACACGCTTTTCTAAAACAATCGTGCGCATCTCCTGCTCAGCTAATATATATCGCTAATCACTTCTACTCTCCCTTGGCCTTCGACCCAATGTCCAGTTTCCTCAACAACATCTGGCCATTTAGCTCGCCAGCCCAACAGTCACAAAACACAATGCACAAGCACAAGGGTATGAGCGACATCTTAAGTGATGATGACCGGGGATCCGGCAGCAGTACACCTACAAGTGCAAAATACGGTGGATCCAGCACTATGACGATAACAGAGACAGTCGCAAGCACTCCTCCATTTTCTAAAATTGGCAAAGCATCGTCTGGAAAACCTGACTCTTCGCTTCTGAAAGCAGGCACTCCTGAGTCTCGACTCAAAGCAGCAGAGTTGAGAACCAAGGCGAGACTGTTGATGGAGAGTGCCGAGAAGTTACAGAAAGAAAAAGAACAAGCGGCTCGTCAACAGCAAACACCTCTCTCTATGGACTCTGCGGAGAAGTCTAAAGAAGTGAATGATGCTATAAACACCATTGTTCCTGAGGGAACAACATCATCTCCTCTTCCTCCCCCTCCCGCCACTCAACCAACGCCACAGACACACCGTTCCAAAACCAATATGACACCTGTATCGACAACGCCACCAGATTGGTCTGCCTTGTCATCGAGCCAAAAATGGAGCACAGATCCTAATCTTCGTGCCCGCGAACTGGGCTCTAAATCCGCCATCTGCGCCGACCTCCACGAGCCGGAATACGCCATGCGCGACGCTGAAATCCGAGATGCACTCATGCACCTTGTTTCTCTGATCCAGGACTTTAGTCGCGGATTCTTCAGTGGCGAGGTCCGTATCCCTGCACCTGATGGCATCCTTCCAGCTTCGTTTTACGAACAAATGACGCCGCAGACGGTCAAGGTGGTGCACTGCGTTGCGAGTGGCGGACCGGCAGGTCAGCGGGGATGGCATGACCTATTTCTCAACGAGGAGAAGAGGCAAGCACTTGTATGCGGAGTTATCGGGAACGTGCTTGTAGAGCAGGTATTCGAGAATGTGTGTTTTGGGTTCGGCAAGGAAGATAAGGATGCTTTCAGTGCTCTGGAGCGAGAACTGAAAGATGAGGATGGTAAGTATATTCTCCATTTGTTCCATTTGACCAAGGAAATGATAGTTAACCTCTCCCTCATCAGGATTCACACGCCACAGCCGTTTCTCCCAGACCCTCCACACTCTCACCCACAACGCCACCACCCTCCCCCCTACCTCCTTCACCGCACACATCCAATCCATCCTCGCAGCACTAACCACACACCTCACCCCCTTCCTCACCCTCCTACACCCCACCCCGCTCTCCACCCTCCCATCTCTCCTCCCCAGCCTACTCACCCTCACAACCCGCGTCGCCCTCCTCTCCCTCCATATGCGCCTCGACCCCCACACCCTCTACCGCTTCACCCCCTCCTTCAAAGAAGACACCTACACCCCCTCGCGCATGCACTGCACAAACGTCACACAAATGCAGCAATCATGCCCGCACAACCCCTCCTCCGTCCTCACCCCCGCCGAGCAAGCCCGACGCGCCACACTCTCAAAGACCGAGCTGCGCCGCAGCAAAGGCGACCAGGCGCTCGTGCAAATCATCGTGTTCCGCGGCGTTGTCGCGTTTCGGAAGGGTGGCTGGGAAGATGGCACTAGTACTGGGCGGAATGTCGTGTTTGAAGAGAAGGAGTTTGAGACGGAAGGGTTCAGAGAGAGGGTTTTGACGAGGGGGTGGGTGTATTGTCGGTGGGGGAGGGGGTTCGCGAGGGGGATGGGGGAGGAGATGGGGAGGAAGGTGCATGGGGATGCGTGGAGGGAAGGGGGGTTTGTGGATTTTACGAAGTTGGAGGGGGTGTGGGATTGGTTGGGGGAGGAGGAGAAGGAGATGAGGAAGGGGAGTGAAGGGGAGGAGGAGTAGAAGGTAGATGGGGGGGGTGAGTTGGGGATTTATGTGTTAGGAATTTGGAGCTTCTTGTGGAGTAGCGTTTTGTTTGTAGTTAGGAAAATTAGAAACGGGGCTTATAAAGCTGATTTTTCAAAAAGACTCGTCTCAACCATATCCGCGTTGCCTCGAATAAAAATCCCATGATACTTCATTAACGTCACTGTATTTCTCGGCCCGTCTTGACTTCTGCGATTTGTTTCATGCCTAAAGGTGCTTACGAACACCTGATCAGTGAGACGAGTTCCTCGATCAGGCGAAGCCCTATCGATTTGGGCGAGTGACTCTTTTACCGGACGCTTCCTCACGCCTTATAATATGCCTCTGGTTCGTGATTCCAAGTCTCATGTGTCAGACTCCTCGATGAACTCGAGTAAACTGCTGATTTCCTTAAGGCTGTCCGCCACAGCGCGAGCTGTTGGCCTCTGGTGGGGATCAATGATCAAACAAGCTTTGATAAGATCGGCAATCTTGCCGGCGCTCTCGTTACCAGCTTGCCCAAAAATTTCGATAGTGCGCTCAATCATTACTCCCAGACGACGGACAACTGCAGGGCAAATTTTGAATTCTCCCTGTTCGTAGTAAAAAAACGGCGCTGCAAGCCTAATCGAGTGGAGTCCAAGAAATATATATCCCTTTCTACTGTAACGTGTTTTACAAACGAGTGAGCCATACAAGCGAGTGAGCCACCCCACCAACTTTGCGCACCTCTCTTGTTATAATATACAATGACTCCACCAAATCTATCCCAACACGTCTCTCGTGAAGCTGATATATACCTTGCAGTATCAGCTCTCGAAAAAAATCAAGTTCAAACTGAAAGGCGCGCTGCAGCTACGTTTAATGTTTCTCGCGCTACTCTCCACCGCCGACGCGCTGGCAAGCCTGCCCGACGCGATTGCCAGCCTAACTTAAAGAAGCTTACTAAGCTAGAAGAGGAGGTGATAGTTAATTATATACTTGATCTTGATATACGTGGATTTTCGCCTACCTACGCAGCTGTACGCGATATGGCTGATAGACTACTAGCTGCGCGCGGCGCTGGCCAGGTTGGCGTCCACTGGCCGCGCAACTTTGTCAAGCGTACAGACAGTCTTACGACGCGTTTTAATCGCGCGTACGATAGGCAGAGAGCTCTATGTGAAGATCCAGTCTTAATCAAGAGCTGGTTTGAGCTTATAGAGCAGACAAAGGCCAAGTACGGTATCTGTAACGAGGACGTCTACAACTTCGACGAAGCCGGCTTTTCAATAGGCAAGATCACGACTCAGCTTATCGTTACAGCGTCAGAAAGGCGAGGCCGGCCAAAGGCAGTTGAGCCAGGCAATCGTGAGTGGGTAACATTTATCGCTGGGATCAACGCGGCTGGCTGGGCTATCCCACCGTTTCTCATCTTTACTGGCAAGCACCACCTATCTGCCTGGTACGAGGAGGCAGAGATCCCGCGCGACTGGGCGATCGCAGTTAGCGACAATGGCTGGACGAATAACGAGCTAGGTGTCGCATGGATAAAGCACTTCGATACCCACACGAAGACTCGCGTTGTTGGCACACGTCGCCTACTTATCCTTGACGGTCATGAGAGCCACCAGTCTCTCGAGTTTCAAGAGTTCTGCAAGGATAATAATATATATACGCTCTGCATGCCGCCTCACTCATCTCATCTACTCCAGCCTCTTGATATTGGCTGCTTCTCGCCACTGAAGCGCGCGTACAGCCGCGAGGTGGAGAGCCTAATCCGCCATCACATCAACCACATCACCAAGCTCGAGTTTCTACCAACGTTTAAGACAGCGTTTGATCGATCCTTCACGCCAGCCAATATCTGCTCAGCTTTTCGAGGCGCAGGCCTTGTTCCTCTCCAGCCAGACGCTGTTCTATCAAAGCTTAACGTACAACTGCGTACGCCTACTCCTCCAGCTGCTCTCGCAGAAGCTCTCTAGCAGGCTTGTACGCCGAGCAACGTACGCGAACTTGAAGCTCAATCAACGCTAATAAGTAATCGCGTTCGACGGCATAAAAGCTCATCACCAGCTTCGATTATCGCAGCGATTAGCCAGCTTAAGAAGGGGGCGGAGGTAATGATGCTCTCGGCTGAGCTAATGCGCGATCGGATTGCTAGTCTTGAGAGAGCTAATACAGTAGTATCAGAGCGTAGGCGGCGTAAGAAGAAGCGGATACAGAAGCGAGGAGTGCTGACAAAGGGAGCTGGAGAAGATCTACTCGCTCAGCGCGAGGCCGATCAGCAGATTGCTCGTGAAGAGCGTCAAGGAGGAGAGCGATCAGGTGTCAGCCGCCAGGCTCTTGCGCGCTGTAGTAGGTGTAGAGAGACTGGCCATAACACACGTACATGCAAGAAAGATACTCTAGATACTACTTAATCTATTATATTAATATATAGTAAAACAATCGTATTATGGTGGAGCTATACGCCTACAGAGGTGCGTAAAGTTGGTGGGGTGGCTCACTCGCTTGTATGGCTCACTCGTTTGTAAAACACGTTAAGTCAGTATCGACATGATGAAATCTTAACCATGGAAGCAACGTGCCTTTCTGTTCGGAACCTTTCTATTTCGCGAGGTCCACCCAAAGCCCATGCGACAACCTCTGAGAGCATCCCTCCGAAGGACCAGATATCGCACGCAGAGCCATATGACGAGCTTTGGAACCGGATATCGCGTTCGGGCGGTATGTACGACAACGTACCGAATTTATCCGTTCGCTCGTTAAGGCGGCTGAGCAACTTGGCCATTCCAAAGTCGGCAATCTTCCACACTCCACGTTTTTCTCCGTGCTGAGAGAAACAAAGTATATTCTCGGGTTTCAAATCGCCGTGCCTCCCTATGGCCTCCCTTTCTGTAAGCGTATGGAAATAATGCAGTCCATCTGCAAGTCCAGCAAGCTGTCTCCACATCCAAGGAATGAGGTTTCGATCGTGCAGAGGGTCGGTTTGAATTAAGAAGCTACGTAAAGATTCGGAGGCGAGGGGAAACATCAAATGGTATCTCCCGCAGTGTTCGAAGGCACTGAGCAGGATAATGAGATGCGGGTGTTTGACGGGCGATAGAGCGTGCAGGACGTCAACCTCGTGGAGAAATGCATCTTTTGAAGGACTATAAAGTTGCTTCACCGCAAAGGTTGACTGATCCAAATCCCGTGTGTACTGTTGATGAAGGGTAACCTTGCATACTTGAGAAAACCCTCCTCTACCGATTAAGGATCGTTCCATGAACGGTAGTCTGTACCGACGATTGAAGCTAGGGATGCTCGGATTGTTCGTGTATGGTAGTATATCGGCTACGAGCGTCTGGGGTTGCGTAGCACAGATGAGATCGTAGTCCACTCGACGGCAAAATCGTGGCAGCTCTGAGCCGTCCAGAGGCATTGACAAGTCTGAAAATCCGTTTTCTAAGAATTTTATCAATGTGGGGACTGGACTTTCGATACTGGCAAGTATTATGGTCGCTAGGAGCCTTGGGGCGTGTTCACTGACTCGGTATGACATCTCGAAGAGTTGGGAAGGGATATCATAGAAATTATAATATCTGATGAAAAGTTTTTGGACCCGGTCAACTGTGAGTATTTCTCTGATGCGAGTTAATGGAATGAATTGTCCATCTGCGCCAGAGACTTTGGACGTCTCAAGCTCGGCGTGAAGTTCTTGGTGAGCTGTGCTTCTCGACTGGCAAGCTGTTTCCTTCGAAAATCTTGCCGAAATAACAATAGATGTGTAATGTTTGTCCTGGAACTGCTCCAAGACCGCTCTCAAGAACGTTGAATTCAATGGGAAAGTATGGTCTTCCACCCCGGATGCTGAGATTGAAGTACTCATCAAGATTCCCCGGTAAAGAACAGGCTCCAAACCTCTTGTTTCAAGAATTCTGTTGCATGCTCGAATGACACCCTCGTATACAGCTTGAAAAGCGTCGTATTCACTAGCTTCGATGATCTCCTGATGCTTTCCTACGCTTTCGACCTCAACTCGTAGTATCAATTTGATGACATTTTCCCGTAATGAAATGGGTATGTGGACCTCTGAACTTGAGAGCGACAGGTCAGTGGCGGCAGTGAGAGACGTAGACGTTTGGTTATCCCAGAAGGATGACGATCGTACAAAGTCGGTCGAGCTTTCTGAAGGCGTACTCTCTTGGAACGAGCATGATGTACTCGAGACATCGATTGAGGAATGTTGCCCGATACCCACTGTGCCCACGTATCTCGTATTTGGAACGGCTTCGAACGATGAAAATGAAACTCCGGCCGAAACAGGATTATATGGTGCTTGATCTAGTGCGCTTACTGTTATAATTCTGTCAGCCAACCAAATATCGCCCTCATAGACAGATAGAGAACGAATAATTGCTTGCTACCTACCAGCCGATGAAAGGCGCAAGCTTCTCTCGATCTTTCTTTGAAGCCGGCCAAGTGCATTCGAGGCTCCTTTGCCATACATCAGCGGCATATGGATATCGAATATACCTAGCAAAGAATATGCCCGATCTTCTTCGCGCTTAGTCTGGCGTATTTTTGCCCACGACATCCGCTCGTCGACGCTGAATTCAGATAGAGGTGTGCCTTCGAGAGCCTGAATGGCGATTTTTGTTATGCTGTGAATTTCTTGTGCCAACGACCGCTTGTCGCCGATCCGGTTGCCTTTTGAGCAAAAGAATTCAACTGAGGACGGAGCAAGGAGCTCTTGGAGCGTCCAGCCACGGGTAAACCATCGACTGTTCCGAAAGGCTGGCTCCCACGATCGAAAAGACGGGTCCAGCTGGTCGCGACTATCAGTCAAGACATCCGACAGGTATACATAACATTTCATCGCATTACGATACCAGCGAAACATTGATGTAATAGCCTCTTGAAGCTCGGCGCTGTTGGATTTGTCAATGCAGCAGGTGTCTACCCAGAAGTGGAGGATGCCATCACGGGCAGCTTGTTCCGCACAGAAGCGAAGTTTTCTGTATCCAGATTTCGTCATCCTAGGCCCTATCGTAAGGTCTTTTTAATTAACCTCCTCATGATCCTTTCCCCATGTATGAGAGAGAATAGCATAAGGAGGAATATTGTTGATCAGATCATCGGTCAGGCTGAACTCCCCATTATCGTCAACTCGTAATAGACGCATTGTAAAGGACAGTTTTCACCATGACAGATTGCGGGGAGGACGTAGTGGTGGACACTGAAATCCGGATAATATAGAAAGGAGGATGCATGTCATGAACGAAGGAAAAGAGCCAATATTATTATTCAGGCGGTGCTGATGGTTCAGCTCCCTGCTGCCTACAGGTTTCCGAGTGTGGCGCAACGCCGACAGGAACCCCGCTTCAGTGTCAACCAACGATATTGAGCCGCATGAGGAGCCAATAGCCGCTAGTCGTTCCAATATATTGATTGGTTAGGAACAAAACACCTCAAGAAAAGCTAGAAGAATGATGATTAAACGACGCTTCCCATCATTTTCGATACTGGGTCAATACACTGCGTTTGTAGTTAATCCTCTGCTCGACCAACCTATCAAAAAAGGGTCTGTAGATCTGACGTTACTGATGAGACCCCAAGGGCACCATTTCCTTGCCTCTAGCTACGCAAATAACATACTGAAGTATTGTTGAGACGGTGTAAAAATATTGTAACAGAAGTTGGAAAGTAGGCGGTGTTGACATTGTGTTAATGGAATGATTAACAGAGTTAGTAATAACTAGATAATCTCCGTTGGAAACGGACTAGTTAGATGTTTGAACACTACTCAATAATCTCACCAGTTGTAGAACTCGGAGCCTTCGTAAAGCAAATATATTTTAGAATTCAGTAGAAACTTGTCTCATCTCGCAGTAGGTGACATTATTATATATTTAAAATTCAATCTGTACAGCCAGCGCCGTCTAAGGACTCAAGGGAGGAAACGAAACAAGGAAACAAGCAAGGAAAAGAAGATGAGGCTACAGACTACACTTCCCCTCTTTCTTTCATCGTCCAAAGCTCCCATCCACATGTAGCGTGGGTATCAATATATACATCCGAATCTCATATGCCAGCGCGTAAAGAAAGAAAGAAAGAAAGAAAGAAGTCGAAACCCTGTTGACACAGTTATATACGCAACGCCAGCTGAACACTTCATGCTAATCAACAAACAAACAAACAAACAAAAGAGCGAAGAAAAAAAATGAGCGTCATGTACTTCTACAACATCAACATACCCTCTGCTTCTCCTTCCCAGCTCCATCTCAACCACCACCCCGTAAAGCACTACGCACTCACAAATTCTCAAGCATATCACTCATCTTCAACCAATCACTAAACTCACTCTTATCCTCCTTCTCCTTCTCCCCCACATCCTCAATCCTACTCTCGCGTTTTAGTTTCTCATTCACAAGCTGCAAATCGAGAATCGAGTCTTTGCCCGTACTCTTACGCTGTCCGAGACCGCTATCCGCTCGAGGCGACAAAAGCCGCGTCTGGATTGCCGCCGAAGAAACCGGGATCGCGGGTTTGTCCTGCTGTGAAGGAGCAGTAGTAGTGGCAGTAGTGGCAGTAGCGGCAGTAGGAACGGTGGCGGCGGCGGTGGTGATGGTGGTGGTAGGAGGAATGCCGGCAGTAGGTCCGGTAGAAGCAGCCAAGCTTCCGAAGCCACCGGTGAAAAAATCTGGACTCTTGAGGATGTTCGGGGTACTTGGTGATTGTGGTATCGCGGCCATACCACCCGTCGAGTTTCGCTGTTTGAAGGGGCCGCTGATGCGGAGGCTCATGAGTGTGTGTTTTTGTTTTGGGGTGGCGGCGGCAGCGCTGGAGTCGGGGGTTTCGGAGGGAGAGGGGAAGATGGCGGATTTGTGGCGGGTGAAGAAGAGGGAGGATTTGCGGAATATGGAGGTTGAGCGGGGTTTACGCAAAGGAGGGGAGGGGATCGATTCTGCGGTTACGATAGGTTGGGTTTTCTCTTGGGTGGGCACGGCGTGGACTTGGATTTGAGGTTGGGGTTTTGCGGCGGCGGTGGTGGGGAGTTCTTTGGTGGGTTTCGAGAGTTTTTCTTGTTCTTCCTGCTGTTGTTTCTGAATGCGCTGCTTGAGTTGCTGTTCGGATATCTGCTTCGCTTTGGCTTCGCGGGCTGCCTTTTCTTCCTCTTGTCTTGTGTCGGGTTTAGGCTTCTCGGTCTTCACTTCAGTCGGCTTCACTTCAGTCGGCTTCACTTCAGCTGGCTTCACTGTCACTTCTGTGACTACCAGCCCCCTCCTCTCAGCGCCCTTGAGCATATCCTGAATCTTGCCCTTCTCTTTCTCGTCAAGACCTTCAGGCACACAAGCCATAGGTGTAAGACCCTTTGCATTCTTATCACCCAGCTTCGCACCAGCACGTAACAGAGCCGCAACAACCTTGTCACTGCCACCCACTGCCGCCGCATGCAACAAGGTGTTTTTTTCCGAGTCAATGACATCCAACTTGGCACCTCGAGTAAGCAGAGTATTCGCAATCTCCAGATCCCCGGCTTCAGCGGCAAAGAACAGAGGCGTCCGTCCAACGTCATCAACGCACTCCACATTCCCCTGCTCCAGCAACAACTCTTCCACAACATCAACACGACGCGCCTTAACCGCACAATGCAGCGGGAAACGCCCCTTGTAGAACCCCGAAGCAAGCCCCGGTTTCGCATCTCGAGCGAGAAGCAATCTCACAACCTCGATATCGATACGCGGGCATTCTTCCAGGACAAACGTTAAGGGATGAATCGTTAAACGAGGAGGTTCCGAGAATCCCTGTTGAGGACAAGGCCACGACGTGCGCTTTGCATGTCTATTGCTGCACGCATTGGGATCCGCACCAGCATCCAGCACCACATTCAGAGCCTGGATAAGATACTCCGGCGCCAACGGGGGCTGCAGCGAGATATGCCGTAGAACAGCCCATAGCAGTGACTTTCCTAGGGGCGACTTGGGCAGGTTGTTAACGTCCAGACCCATCGAGATCATCATCTCGATATCACGAATCGGCAGCACCGTCATGAACGGCGACACTTCGTCCTCCGCGCTCTTAGGCGTCTCCCGCAGAACGACCGTCCGACGGACCCATTCCTGTTGCGCAAATGACTTGTAGATTTGCTTGTTGACTTCCTCCGACGACTGCAGCACGTGCTTGTTGGGAGTCCAGTCTTCAAACTCAAAAGTCGCACCGTTCCGGAGCAGTGCGTCGACGAATATCGGCTTGCTCATGGTCGCGGCGTAGTATAGTGCATCGCGTTTCTTGTGGTCTTCGTGGTCGGCAAAGTTCCAGCTCGCTTTTGCGCCCGCTTTCTGCGCCAACAGTGCTTCGATGATAGGGAGACCCTCCTCCGGAAGCGCCTTGACGGCGAGTATGAGCGGTGTGGCACCAGATCGATCGCGGATGCTTCTGCTCACGCCGCGTTCGCAGAAAGCTACAGTAGCTGCGGCGATGTTTTCCCAAGTTGCTGGAGCTCTGGGGCAGTTGGCGACAACATGGTGCAGCGCACTGAAGCCGTTCTTGTCCCATGCGTTGACACTCGGTGTGGTAACGAATATCGGTGCAATGGACAACTGGTGGTTCTTGACGGCGAGAAGAAGCGGCGTGTTCTTGTTGTTGTCAATAGCCGTAGGATCCGCACGAGCTCTCAACAGGAAGCGCACAGTCTTTTCCAGGCCGTTCGCAGCTGCAAGATGTAGAGGCGTTTGTCCCTGTGCATTCGTCTTGCGCAAGTTGGAAATCTTAACGAGAGAATCCAGCACGGGTTCGTTCTCTTTATTGCACACTGTTGTTGCAAACAGCAATGGCGTCAGTCCTTTGGCGTTGAATTGTTGGGGGTTTGCCTTGTTCTTTAGCAGCATGTCAATGCACATCTTGCTGTGCGTCGCAACATGAAGCGCAGTGTTGCCCTCGCTGTCCTGTGCATTGACCTCAACACCTGCATCGATGAGCATTTGCGCAATCTTCATATGACCAAAGGACGGCGACACGGCGCGATGAAGTAGCGTCTTTCCATCCGGGTAGGTAACCTTGGTATCAGCGCCCTCCTCGATCAAGGCCTCAGTGATGGCTTGGATGGTGTCCTTCTCTTTTGTCAATGGGCATTCGAACGCAGCCTGGAGCACACTCAGTCCCTTCTCGTCACGGACCGAAAGATCTGGGTTGCGCTTGAGGATTGCCTTGACGACTGGTGCTTCTGCACATGACAAGGCAACAAAAATCGGTCGTAGTCCTCGAACAGTCTTGCGATCTGGATCGGAGCCCTTTTCCAAGAACATCTCCACTAAAAGTACATCGTTCCTCTTGATAGCCTCTACAAGGACGTTTGACTCGGGGTCACAGGCTGCAGCGAAGATGTCGGCAATGAGGTCGTTGCCGATGGAGAAGCGACCCTGTGTCTTTTGCACATGCTTCAGCAACATTTCCTTCTCTTTTGCCAGCTCGTTACGTTTGGTGTTTGCTGCATTGATAATGGCGACGGCTCCGTTGATGTTGTTGGCTTTCAAAGCTGCCTCAGCTGGGGTCTGGGCATTGACGTTCAGTGTATTGTAGCTAGCGCCATGCTGGAGTAAGCTCATGACTACTGCCAATGATCCCGACTTTGCTGCTGCGTAGTGAAGTGGTGTTTCTCCCGTCGTGTGCGTCTTGAGTTCCAGATTGGGTCCATGTGATAGAAGCAGGTCCATGAGATCGACGCGGCCATTCTTGACTGCAATGTGCAGTGCAGTCTCCCCTCCCTCTCTGGTGGTAGCATTGATATCTGCACCAGCGCCAAGGAGAATCTTTGCAATCTCAACATATCCGTTTGCAACAGCAATGCACAGTGGTGGTTGTCCAATGTCAGTGACGTCGTCCGGCGACGCGCCAGCTCGAAGGAAGTGCGATAAAGCAGCCTCGCGTTGATGGTAGACCGAGTAGAAAATGGGCGTCCATTCCTTGGATGGTCTGAAATCCCCCAGCTTCTCCGGTGTCTCTCCAGACTTTCCAAATCTACATCTCAAAACCTCGACTGATGTTTGCAACGCCGAGCCCTTGCGTCTCAGCGTAGACGGGCTCTTGCTGCTCTTCTCAATGTCCATGTCAATTTGACGCAACATTGAAGGTTCCGAGTCACTCGACTCGCCCGAGTAGACACCGGTACTGCGTGAATTAGTCGACATGTTTCCGAGTATACATAAGGGGTCTAAGGAGTGGAGACCAGTGGGAGGAGGAGGAGCTGTTAGGGATTGGAAGGGGAATGGGCATACAATATAGTCTAGGAAACGGAAGAAGCGGGGGTAGCACAAGCAGAGAAAGAGGAACCTTGCCTCAGCCGCAGCAAAAAGTCCACCTTCAGTTGACGAGAGATTGACATGTACATACGTTTCACCGGCGTCTCCTCTCGGCCGCCCGATCGGGACAGCAGACTTGGTGGCGCTACACACGAATCAAGAGCATTCTCGTGCCCCGACCAGGCTGCCCACCAGTAAGCGGTGCCACCGACTTACCAATCCCAACTCACTTTTTCGTGCCTCAAGCTAATTGCGCTCTAGTCGCTGGCCGAAAGCGGCGTCGCTGCGAGGCGACGGTCGATAGCGCACGACTGGCGCCCCTTCGCGAATGGCACGTCGACACCTCTCGCCACAAAGTACCCCCTGCGTCACATTTTCGCCAATCCGCCCCAGAAGCAAGTTTCTACGCGCTTGTATACAAACATGGCTGGCGAGCGAGCCCCGCACGCAAGAACAAAGTAGACGTGGTGGACGATGTATGGCGGCACAGCGGGCGCTCCTTGCATCATTTCGCGCTGCAGCGTTTTGCGGAGGTTCATCAACATATGTCCCCTCGTCATCTTCCAGACCAACTCCTGGCTCTTCCCGAAACCCATGCCACTCTATTTCCATGTCCACGTGCGAACCCACATCCTAACAATCAAAAACAAGTAAAATGAAAATCAGCAAAACAAACATCAGCGAACGCGGGTGCCGGTGAGCCACCCCCACCCTCCCAATCCTCAGCGATCATCACGCCTGAACACTTTCATGTACATCCCACATCTTTTTCCCGACCTTTTCCAAAGCACATTGCGCAGAATTCCATTTTCAGCATGAAGGCCCATGCTGCGATTCAGGAAATACAGCGTGCCGATCTCCCGGAACTGAGAAGAGCTAAACTACTTACTTCCGGAAAACAAGGTCGATCACTGATCATTGATCATCAAGCGTGACCCACGTGTTTTGTTATATAGTAATTAGTAGTTAATATTCGGCAATGGGGTTAGTCAGGGGTCACGCGGAGCAGGAAAAGAGGGAGAAGAAGGCAGGGAAGGTCTGGACGAGAGACAGACAGACAGACAAGGCAGAGAGAAGGGTCACAGATCAGCCACAATCTAGTCAGGGGCAAGCCCTACGCTGATACTACGGGGCATGCCAAGCTCAATGGCGCCACGAGCTACGCAAAGCCAATATTTCCACCATCATCATTGCGTCTTCCGTTGGGGGCGGTCCCCTCTTTCTTCCTAGATGAGACGCACGAGAAAAAGAACTGGGTTTTTGGCAGATGGCGGACGGCAGATCGGATGGTAAAAAGGAAAGGTGGGGGTGTGGGACCTGAGAGGTTCGAGCACGTATCTTCGTTTTTTTTTAGAGTGCATGGGACTCTGATGTTCTTTTCTTCTTTCTTCCGTTCTTCTTCCAAGATCGGATCGATAGGAGGTGGGGGAGGGGGGATTGTCGAAAATCGCGGGGGAGAAAAAGCTCGTTCCTCGGTATGTGCAATCGTTCGGGCTGCTCTTCTTCCGTGATCGTGATTCCCAAGGTTCTCCTGTAATTAAATGATGAAGCTTAACACGGGTGTATACATGGAACGCAGGTTTACCGGGCAACTAACGTGATTCTCCGCATTCGTATGTGGTCGATAGATATCAACAAGTTTCTGTAGAATTTGTCGTTCAACTGAACGATGCGCCCGGTATGGCGACATCGTATTTTCCTCTCTCTCTCTTTCTCTCTCTCTCCCGGGTGGAGGGGGCGAATGGAGAGATCGGCTGAGATATAGTTTGGTCGTGATAAATATAGAACTCAGATCAGCCTCACAAAAAAGGATTGCATAGAAAAAAAGATGACTGATCGAGATACTTAGAGCGGCGAGAACGACCGTACTTTTTTTGTTTCATGGATTGGGTGGCAGTCCTGAAGGGGCGTGCCGCCATCTAACGATATTGAGCAAAAAACGAGTGGAATGGTAACGCGATTAAACTTCGCCTACCGAGAAAACAGGCCACCTATTTCAATTTGTATTCGCCCTCCCTCTCCGTCTCTCCAACTCCTCTTATTCGATAACAATCTAGTCCTCCACAACACCACGTATCATGTTCGCGGTAGCGCGTAGTTTAGTAGGTCGCTTGTTAGAATTCGCTGCACACCCAGTTTTCTTTCTAGCAAGTGCACTAGGGATGTGTAATCTCTTAGAATTTCACCCCCAGCTTCCATCCGACCTGCAAGGCTCGACTCCACACGAAGCAGAGCGAAGCCATAATGTAACAGACCGCAGTCCAGATCACTACGCCCCAGTAGTGTCCGCCAGTAGTTTGAATGATTGCTCCCGCAATGGGTATGCCAGTGAGGGTGCTGAAACTCACGACAGTATAGCAGGTAGCGTAATACCGTCCGTAGACATTTGTATCGCAGAGCTGGCCCACGCATACTGGTGTCAGGGAGATGTTGGATCCAGAGGCGAATCCGAATAAGACAGCATAGACAATTGACAGGCCTTTAATGGCCGCAGCTGCAGATTCAGTAGTGGGCGTAAGAAGCGATGCTGGGAGCCAGAATACCAACGATGTGGCAGAGCAAACTGCCAATGCAGCAATCATGCTGTTGAACCGACCCAACTTGTCGGCCAGCAAGCCCGGAAGCCAGCGACCGACGCAACTTCCTGCGTTGAAAATGGCGGCCAGCTGGTACGAAAAGGACGGGCTGAACGCACCAGTACTCACCGCAAAGGTCGTGAGGTAAGTGATTGGAATGAAGAGCGCCCATTCCATCATGAAGATGCCTACTGTGAGAAGAAAGTAGCTCTTGTTACTGAAGATTCTAAAATCGGGCCACACCGACTGTCCAGGTTTTGGCGGTAGTCGCGAGCGGATGAGGATACAGGCACCGATACAGCAGAAGAGCATGATGAAGGCAATGACGCGAGTAGCCCATGGGAACCCCACTGTAGGTAACAGCTTATTCAGGGCCAGTGGGAAGATGACGCCACCCAACGAACCCCCAGCTGCAGCGACACCTGTTGCATTACCTCGCTTCTGAAGAAAGAAATGACTGATTGCTGCAAAAGCAGGTGTAAAGATCAGCGAGGTGCCAAGGCCTCCAAGAACACCAAAGACGAGGAAGAAGTGCCAGTACAAGGTGCATATGCCGAGGAGAAAATTTGACAGACACAGCAGAATGCTGCCAGCCAGCACTAGAAGTCGTGGACCATGAGCATCAAATATGGGGCCGATTTGCAGTCCACAGAAGAAGGACAGAAACACGTAGATGCTAAAGATCCACGAGATGGTCGACTCGCTGTAGTCTTGCAGAAAGTGCTCGGCAATGTAGGCATGGTAGATGCCGACCGTGTTCATCATACCCAACGAGGCAATGAGGCCTAGAAAGGATCCGAGAACAACGGACCAGGCGCCTAGACCGCCTTCTGGATAGGTCGCCTCGGTGTGAGCAGTCGAGGTGATGGATCGAGTTTCCTCATCATGAGGCTGACGAGGCTTTTCATATCCAGTTGCAGTGCTGTTTGGGTGACTCTCCTTGGAGATGGCTGATGCCGGGGCATTGGCGGTTGGAGTTGGGGCACTTGGGCATGATGATAGCGTGTCCAAAGGCGGAATGGTGAACTCTGCTTGAGGATAGGTGTTGACTCGAGTAAGAGGGTTGATTGATCCTGGCGTGCTGCCTTTGGGTTCGCTGCTCATACGCGGTGCTGAGGTGATATTGGAACAGGGATGAATGGCGTGTGATGAAAATGTGCGCAATGCACGTGCGCTTGAATAAGGTTTGAAAGAGCTCCTGCACAGTCCCCGAGGTGCGTCCACTTCTACCCGTAAGTACCTCCCAGTCGGTAACACGGGCCGTTGATTGAGTCGCAATTACGGTTCTCCAGCCTTTTTGTGTAGAGCAGAGGAGAAGGCCCAGAGGTATAAGTAGGATAGGGAAGGGTGGAGGGGATGACGGCTATGACCAAACGACCCACTTGGCGGCTTCGTCTGTTTCTCTCCATGCGGTATCGCCCGCTACCGACGAAGGGTTTTCCGCCATGTTCTTACCAACCGGGCTATGATTCGCCGTAGATGCCGAAGACCAAGACTCGCCTGGATATTGGCGGTGAGTTGGACTGACTTGACGTATTCCGGGAATAATCTTTTCGGAGTGAGATGCGGAGTTCAGAGTATCCGCATCGGAGTACTCGCCGTGGATCGGTTTGGCTTGCCATTGAGCTAATAATCTAGCCGTTGTTCTCTATTAGGCACATTGAAGACTTGTTCAGCAGTAGCTCTAATCTATCTGTAACACTAAGACTGAATGCCTAAATATTTGCGTCGACCAATGCACTGTACGGTTTGCTAGGGACCTTGTCAATCTTACTTGTAGCCATTGGATCCCGATCGTAATTTCTTTCTGCACTTCGAAAAGCATTCCAATACGAGTATAAGTATGTGGATCTCAATCACCCTTGCAAAAGTCAAATGATCCCTGGATATACATATGGAGTAATGAATGCGCAGGAGAAATGACTGTGAACATGACTCCTAACTACTCCGTATAGAACCACGCACCGTAACTCGCCCCTCTGTATATTCTTTTTCGGGTTCCATGCAGTCATATCACATGACACTTACGAAATGCTAATGTCATGAATCGTTAGGACTAGAGTCACGAGTAGTATTACAAGGTAGCCATATTAGTCTTACGAGATAGTAATGAGTAGCATGCAAAACATGTACATGCTGTCCGAATTCCATCTAGCACTTCTAATGGCAAGTAAGACAGTGGGGGAAAAGCTCTCCGGGGACTCAAACGCATGCCCTAGCTCCTGCGTAGCTATTATATAGTTTTATAATTTACACTATATCTACATTCGTATCTTGCCTAACTAATTATAGCAAGATCAAACTTCCTCTATACTACCTCAAACACATCCATGACTCCAGCATCTCTATTTCCAAGCTCTGCAATCTAGGCAGTGAAATCAAGACTTGTGTATAATAGCCAACCGGCTATATGAGATACAATTGCAGAGTAGCAGTTTTCAAGTCTTCTAGATAGTACCCAGCCAGCGAGGTAGAATACAACTACATACAGACACACCACCCACCATATCTCACCCCCTTGCATATTTCCCCCACGAATCCGCACCTATCTACTTATATCTCATATCTCATATCCCACGCCCACACACTCACATCCCCCGCATATGTATCAAGTTATCATAACCGCAGTCATAGGTAGCCGATGCATTACAAAAGTGCACATACCGCAAGTATCCATCCCAAGCTACCTCCCTCTCACATGTCATCTCGGTTAAATTCCTCCGGAGTAACAACGAACTCAGACAGCAAAGAAAGAAAGAAACGAATGATGTAGGGATTGGAATAAGGCAGTAGGTTTAAAGCATGTATCAGCATGAAAAGAAAAAAATTATATGGTGCGGGGGGGGGGGGGTTGTGAAAACATTATTGTAAAAAAAAACTCCCCCACGAGAGGAAAGTAAGGGAGGAGGGAGGAAGGGAGGGAATTATTGGAAACCCCCCCAAAAATGTTATTTGCAGTACAATCGTGATTTTCTTTCAACTAAGAGAGGGCGAAAAATAAAAATAAAAATGAAACGTAGGATGATAATCCGAGACTAGATGGGGTTTTTTTGGGGGGGCATTTATCAAATCATCAACTTCAAAAACGCCTGAAAGGAAAACCGGAGGGGGGGGGGGGGATTTGTGTCTACTTTTCCATACACTCACCCTTCCACTCTCCTCTCCCCGAACCACTCTCAAGTCCTTCAAGTCCCCGATTTCTCAATCGTCCACTCCGTAACCCCACCAATACTCCACTCGACATCCTCCATCCACCCTCCAAAGCTCCAAGCTCCCAAGTTCTTCGGGAAATACACTTTTGCTTCCCCTTGTCCCTCTCCCTCTGCTTCTCCCACCCGTCCACCCTCCCCATCCCTTTCTCCCACCTCCGGCTCATGAACCTCGACCCAACACCCCCTCGCCCTCGGACTCCTCGCACTAATCTCAAACCCCCTCCACCTATCCGTTCCCGGCAAAACCGCAAGTCCCTTGTGCGGATCAATATCGTACGGATCCACCACTTCCCCTTGTAGCACCTTCTCCAACGCCTCCTTATGCCCCGGCGGTTCGGAAATCGGGGGCTGGACAACAGCCAAGCTGAGAGGGATGTACTTTGTATTCACCGGTAGAGCTGGGATCCATTTCCAGGGTGTGAGGGTGCAGGCGAAGAAGGGAGGCGTGGAGTCGCCGTCGCGCGAGGATGGGGGAAAGACTTTTACGGTTAGGGAGGCGGGAGGGGAGGCGCCTGCGGGGGTGGGCGGGGAGGAGAAGGAGAAGCGGGCGAGGTGTTTCGGGATGTTCCAGTTTAGGCGGCCATTGTAGGTGGTTGTGCGTTGGGAGACGTAGATACGGGATATGCGGAGGGCTTTTGGCGGGATGGAGGAGGGCGTGGGGGGAAGGGGCGTGGTGAAGTTGCCGGGGACGAAGATGATTTCGTCGTAGGGGCCTTGTTGGAGGGGGGTTTGGTTAGAATGAGT